GGTTTTGAGCACTGTTATTTGCAATCCAAACAGCCATGTCTAATTTTGTATGGAAAGACATGGTAGGAAAGAGTGTTTAAGAGACTACGTTATTCCTACCTGCATCCCCAAAGGGCAGATGTTTTCCTTAGGATTCTATGACTTTGTATTTTAAATGGAAAAGCAAACCCCACTTCCCACTCCTTTTTCTCAAGCTACTGCTTTCTAGATGAAAACTCCTCTGGTTAGTTTCTTCTGAAGTGCTGGGAGGAACCAGGTGAAGGGGGAAGGCAATAGAGCGATTTCCTGTATTTCGGCCTCAACTCTCACACCCTATTTCAGGCATGCATGGGAAGCACATACAATGGAGATAATGCTCTATTTATTTTTAATGTAAGATCTGGGAGTTGAGGCTGGAAACACAGAAAATACTAAAAATACTCAATTTCATTTGGAAAATTTATTCAATGTACCGTAAGCAAGGCAAACGGAACAATAAGGAAGGAGAAACTGCTTATTCACTCTGTACAATGAGACAGAAAATTTTCTACATAACAATTTAATTAAAGAATGTATTACAACGCAAAATCATAAGGAGCTGGTACAAACAGAACACAGACAAGTTCAACATCTGGAACATCTGTTCTGTGTTTCAGAAGTTTGATTCTACAGTCTCAGTAACACACTTAATGTTGCAGGGTTTATGGTCCTAAAAGAAGAAAGACCACATTATAAAGCTGGTTCATCACGAAGCAACTCTTGCTGCTGTGCAGAATGAAATTGAAGTTCAGGCACTAAAAGGACCAGCTGCAGATGTAACTTGCCCAATTTCTAAGAACATTTAATTTCTACAGTAAGAAGTTCACTGTCTTGCTCCACATCACGTTCTTGTTTCCTATACATACAAATTGTCAGCTATTTTGAGTGGTGGCACTCCTAAGATCAAACTCACAGAGCTGAGTTTTGCCACATGTACCTTAAGAGTTTTCCAAGACTGCCATTGACAAAGTAGAATTAGATACTACTGTTTTGGAACAAACTGAACTGTCTAAATATTTAAAGTGCATGTAAGTGAGGACAAGATTTACAGTCTTTTTCCTTTAAAAAAGACTTTCATATTCTAGATTAGGAAAACAGACCATGGATATCACAGCTGTAGTGGCTACAGCCACCATTCATATTCTTACACATGAATTTAACAAGTCCCAAAATACAATGCAGGATTATATAGTTGAAGATTGTTTCACAAACAGTACTCACAGACAGTTTTAAAGTTGCACAGGCAACAATAATTCTGCCATTTCCTGACTCTGCAACCTTTATAATGTGGTCTTTTAGAGTTATATCTAATGCATTATGTCTGTACCATAAGAACTCGTATAAGATGGTATTTCTTCAGATGAACAACATCAGAACAGACTATAACAACATTTTTGTAAGATTTCGTATCAGTGCTTCTGGAAGACCCAATACTGCAGAGACCTTGTCAGTGTTAATTTCAAACACTAAACAGTAACACTGAATTCTTTGCAAGATGATGGGGTGAAATTCCCAAGATGATAGTGACCTCCTTTAAAGTTGTGGAAAAGATAACAATATGGAGAGATTAAAACAGGTCAGTAAAAGTTTAAGAACACTCCACTGAATACTTACACCATCTATACTCCTTCTAGCATGAGGTCCATATGTATCTTCAGACCCTAAAACCTGTATGTTAACTGCACTGTAATCTTCATACCCAAGCTGACTGAAAATAAGACGAGTCCTGCAACAAATGATTTTTTTTTATTAGTAAACTGCCTCAAAATTATTATCTGAATTAGCCCTGTGTGGTCCACAGGAGTTAGCTCTGTCATGTAAACTGGACTATGAATACTTTACACTAAACAAGTATATCTGAATACTACAAATCAAGTGATTACTGACAAGGAAGTTATGCCTCAATTTATCCCTGGGTTTCAAACTGAGACTTCTGTTTATTCAAATTATTTGAAAGATGACAGGCAAAGACAAATAAAGGGATTTCAGCTCTTACTTTTATCTTTAAAACAAAGACAGCTTGAATGTAGTTACAGTATATGCAGTCTTCCTGCTTTTCATACTGGTAATTCAGTTCTTAACTCTGTTTCTGCTGTAAGGCATTATGAACTACCAATAAATAATGAAACTACCTCATTACATCACAGGCACCAATGAAGAAAAATCAAACTGAAGAAAGAACTTTTATTCAAACCTTGAAACTTAAACCTTAAAACTTTATTTGGGATTACTTAACGTAAGACTCAAATGCCAAAAAATAGATAAAGTTTTTAAAGAGAATGTTTCTTCATTACTTGTGCCTTTCCAGTCTGGCATTGAAATCCCTGAAACTCTTTCTATGATATTTCCACCAAAAGCACGTTGTGTCAAGAGTGCCAAGTTTGTCTAATCACAATTAATAATGGGGGTGAACATTACCTTCTTTTTACACACCATGAAAACACACACTGCTTTAAGAGAGCCAGGAATTAATACTGGTTTTTTTGACAGATATTAAATTTGGATTAAATAGACTATTTGCAACAACTCTTTGAAAAAAAAAAAAACAAAAAACCAGCCCAACTCAAGCACTAAAACTGAAAATGACAGCTATAATTTAAAAAAAAAAAAAAAAAAAATCATTCAACCATTAAAAATAGTCCAATTTATTTAACATGTTGCAGATTGGAAAAATAAGTTAAATTCTGAAGCACCTAAAGTGGTTTCCCAATAATCTTGATCTGGCACCCTGCTAGCTGTGTAAAAGATTTTATCAGTTAAAACACTGGAATTATGTTAGGATGAGAAAAATATTTTGCATCAGTGGAACATCTTGAAGACACTGTTAATGTATGATCATTGTTGTAAATACTAGCATGGTACCTGAAAAAGGAAGCAGTGTACAGGACTTAAAACACGAAATGTAATTTTGTAATTTTGTTGTAAAGAGATGAAGGTGGTCCATGTACCACAAATGAGGCCATCTTTATTTTCATGACCACAGAAAGACAAGATACTTGATTTAAGGTACCTAAATTTGCAAACTGTCTCTAATAAATTATTTGAAGTTATTTATCAACAAACATTAGAGATAAGAGAGTTCAAAATACAGTCTGTGAGTAATTTTTAGCCCTTTCATGTGTCTTGGTAACAGAACAGAGAACCATCAAAAATAAAATGAAGCCAAAGACTACTGCAGAGACTTCTTCACACACATACTGCCAAATCTCTCCTGCTTTCAAAAATGAATAAACAAATAAAGGAGAAGCGTGCAAGAAAAGTGAAAGAAGTCATATTACAAGCTGCCAAAGCTGCTCAATGTGTTAGGCTGCCAGCTAACTTGACCTGTACAATTGAAGTACCTTAAATTTGTGCACCTTATTCTGTACTTGCTACCATTAGGCTACTGGGCAGAATGTAATCTGGAATGGACTGGAAGCTGGCTAGCTGGAAGATCATGCCCTTATGACATTCTCTTGCAACAGGAATTGGTGGAAAGCTGAAGTCAGAGCTTCCTAACAAGATGTAGTTACTAGTAGAGCATTCTCTGACAGTGATCAGAATAGCTTAACTCTTATTCAACATCTGGGTTGACATACACAAATCTTTTGAACATGCTGAATAAACGATTCCACACATTAAGCTGTTTAAGACTGTGTTTGAGATGGAGAATATATCAATGGGTGATACCGTATATTGTGATTTTTAAAGGACAGAACAAGCCACAGCTGGTCCAGGCATGCCTCACAGGCCAGGGGCCATTTATCAAACCAGTTAACCAGCCTTTGGCTATCTCCCATCACCCCTCTTCTGAGGATTACTCAGGACAGCACAGTAAGCAGGCTGAATTAATTTTCTAGTGGTCACAGAGGCAGCAGCACAAGCTGTTTCAATCAGACAAAAGATTCATGTAGTCTGGTCTAAAATAATGTCCAAGAGCAAACATGAAAGGGAAAATACAGCATTCTACTTCCAAAATAATCACCTAGCTTCCAAAAAGATTGCTTTTGGGGGACTTCCGAGTCCCTGAGTCTTTGTATTTAACAGCTCTGGAAGGGTTTTTTCTTTCATTGATTTTTCTCAGTAGCTCCTGGACATGTACATTTTTAGCATTCACATCACTCTGAAGAAAGGGATTCCATAGCTTAATTACACATCCCATATCAGCCTGCTCTCATCTGCTATGTCTCTTGAGGGCAGTCACACAGCTCCTTCTGCATCACAGTGCTGTACAGGGGCACACGAGCAGTAAGTCATTCTTAAGTCCACAGTAAACCCTGCATTTCTGACAGGTGTCCATCCTAGTGTACTTGCTGCATGGGTCTGTGGGGGGGGGGAAGTTATATATAAAACATGGCATGAAGAGATAGATATCCTAACTAGAAAGAGTGGGGCTATCAGAGTAAATGGTCAGAGACTCTGTGAGGATATGGAATTGTATTTAAGAGGAATCCCTCCTTGCCCAAACATGCTGGCATGACAATATGACTAAAGGTTTATCAGTCTCTCTTATAATTGTAAAATTGTTCTAGCAAACAAAACCATTAGTCACATTTTACAAGATACTAAGATAATTTTGTTTAAAACACAAACTTGGTAGACTGCCTACATTTCATAGCACTAAGATTTTTTATAAAGAGAAGTTCTGTGAAAATCAGTGAAAACTAGTTTCATGTGGGTTTCTCTCTGGCACCTAATAAATTTTAATTTGAATCACAACCTTTCCCTCATTAATTTGGGTTTCTCCTCACTATCCAGCCATCTATTTTCAACAATATTTGAGACCCTTCTCGCTCTGTCAAATGTAGCTGAAGTGTAGTTACATGTTGAAAACAGGTTTCCTAAACAGGCTATTTAAGTCTCAAAACGTCCTCCCAATTGGAAGATTATAATCTTCTAGGGTTCTTACAAGGTTAATATGGTTGCCATAGTACGTCACAGTTCTATTTTCACAATCTCTGAAAAGAAAAAGCCAAAACCCCTTCCAAGACTCAAACACTAACCTTTGCAGAATACTTTCCGCTGTGCGTTTTCCTTTTTGTACTGCCTTTGGACCTCCCACTGGACAGACAGCAGTAGCTCTGAAGCCGTCAAGGTAAGTGGCATTTACCTAACAATAAGGGGATTATGAAATTACATGGGATTCAGTACTGATATGATATAAAAGCTGACAATCATTATCCATATGTTAAGCAGAAGCAGAATAGCAAGAAACCATCATCATCACCACCACAAAAATTTACTCTTTACCATTATTTAAAATTCAAAATTCTATTGGAGGGAGATTCAAACCTGCAAAACTGTGAAATTCTGAATCACTTCTCATTGTCGTCCTTAAATTCTCCTGTACTTATCTGTTTTGGTACATAGGACACATTCTGATGTTGAAAAGCTGAATAATCTATCACAGTGAAATAGATCAGACATAAGTTTCCCAGAAGTATTAAAGTAAATGTGGAAAAATATCACATACACGCACACACAAACGAACATGTTATACATTGCAAACATTTAACTAACAAGCATTTTCCTAGACTTCCAGTGCTACAGCTGCTTAACAGAGCCCTAATAAAGTGAAAGTAATGACCATAATGCACAGCCATAAATGTTAGAAAAGCTTTAATAGGTGTATCTAAACTAAGCATGATGCACATTTTCAACATTTGTTACCTAACAGAAAAAAACAGAAACTGAAGAACCTGGTAAGACATTCAGCATAACTCTCTACAACCAGAAATGTTCTTCCTACAGTAAATTTTCAAACACTTTACCCAGTCTACTTTTAAATGTGTCCCGTCCCCCGTCCCCCCCTCCCCCGCCAAAAAAAGGGTGTTTCAGTTATTTCTTTTGAGAAGCTATTTCACAGGTAACGTATTCCTCATTATTTTCCCTGAAATTTACCTTTTCTCACTTTCTCTTATCATTGTTTTACTAACTACACTTCACCTCTAATGCAGCAACTAAATATTTTTCCTCTATACTTACTGTAAAGTTACTGAAAGTAACACACCCTTAAAATATTCCTAGCTTGTTATTATGCCCATTCAGTCACCTCCTAGCCAAGCTGAATATACTAAGTTCCTTTCCTAAAACAGGTGTGCAAAGCATATGTCCATTTATCACTGACAGACAATTAAGACAGTTTCAAAAACCAGAAATATTTCACAGGAAGTCTAGCTTACATATTTTAGAATATCATTACACTGTTTAATAAACAAAACATAAGATACATTAACAAAATATTCCTAAACACACACATTTCAAATGTCCTACTTAAAACGTAATAATAAATAAATAAGAAATAAATTAAAACATTTTTATTTTACTGCTATGTAAAAAACAACTGTCATTCTGTTTTCTGTATTCCATTTCATGGTTCATCAACTGAAAATCTCAAGTCTCAGTTGCTTCCTTTACAGAAATATGGAAATACAAAGCCAAGAACAAAAACTGCAGAAGGACAAGGCTGCTGAACAGAGCAGTCGCTGAAAGTTGTTGAGAAGCAGCAAAACACACTCTGCTTCAAACCACACACTTGGACTGAGGAAGAAAAAGTATTTCCTGCTTTGTGCCTTCACTGCCTTCTATATTTGCCCATATCAAATTCCACTGTTTACTACAGGAATAATAAGAGCATTAGCGTAGCTATCGTTTGATTGATGGAATTTGATGCTTTGTACAAAAGTATATGCTTCATTCATTTTTAGGAATTATTTCTAAATTGACTTCTCTGTCAGTTATGCAATGACACTGTAAGCCTGATTTTTAAAACTGAACATATTTCAGAAAGGTGCTTATAATTTATGCTTTAAGACTTTTGTGGTGGTGTTTGAAACACAACAAAAATGTATTTTCAGATTAAAAAGACACAGTTATTCCCAGATGCAGAGAATGCAGACACAGATCACTGAGAAAGTACATAATGCTGGAACAACAAATTCAACTAGAACTCTTGAATTAATAATTAAAATTCTGAGGAAATGCAGAAAGCTGACAAGACAATATTGTACTGAAATTGCAGGCTGTCTATCATGAAAAAATATCAATGCTTCATTATATTAGGTGAAAGTTTAGGAAAATTCACGTTCAGATTACACTCCCACTGTACTTTCAAAATATCAAACCCCTTTTTCATAAATCCAATACCAACGTGATTACTAGAAAACTGACAGAGGTGAAAAACTAACTAAGGGCATGAGAAAAGTGACCCGTGGTATACTACTCAACTCTAAAATGCTTTGTCAGTATGCTTCAATTATGGAGCCTTTAGAGAGCTCTCTCTTCTGTTCTGACTTTACAACTCACCAAAACCAAGATCTGCTTTGGTGATATTATAATTTATCTTTGAAACACTGCGTCATCTAAAAACTGAACCTCTATCTTATATAAAACTGGTTTTAAAAGTGTCAGAAATATTTTAAAAATGCAGTAAAAAGTTTCAAAGAAAAATTATGCTCAGACATACATTATGTTATTTAAACAGAAATATCAGCACAATTCCCTGCTTAGGTTATGGCTGTGCTAAGCAGTTAATTTCTGATCTCAACCTTGCTTCTATAAAAGTCAGTTTTGCCACTAGTTTAAACAAGAAAAGGGTCCAGCCCTACCGGTACTTCACCAGAACTGTATTACCTTAGCATCCATTCCGGGAATGGAGATCACTAGAAGACTACAGTAACAAACACAAACTTCACAATTTTACTAGAAACGTGGGTTTCTTTCAACAGAATATTTCAGGAAACCTAGTCTCATTCTTAGTTGCTCTCTTCACAGATGTAGTTGCTCATTACTTGCCTTTTGAAAACTACTTGGCAGATAAATTTCACAATGAAATAGAACAAAATTAACACACCAGTACAAAAATCAACAAGTATGAGGGTGTTAGTGGGCTAAGATGTTTTATAAGTTGTTATTATTACTATAAAAGAATGATCCCAGCTTTCTCTGGAGGTTTGTAAATAAGCCTGTTATACAAATTAACATGGTTTTATGTATCAAATAGGGTTTGTCTATTTTTCTTTCCCCCCCTCTCTCTTTTACTCTCGGGGCAGGGAGGATGAGGATTTTAAAGTGGTAACAGCTTTTGGCAGAAAATAATTCATATTTTCTCCAAAATATAACATTTTGTAAATCAAAAATACCTTACACTCCACAGAAAGAAGTAATACCTTATAAAACGTTGAAGGAGGCGATCCTTTTGCTCCATGAACTTTCACTGCCCCACCATCAAAACCTATAGGGGTTAAAAATCAATATTTAAGCTTCTTCAATATAACTTCAAAAACATTATTTTGTGACACTTGTTAATCAAATCCGCTTAATTAAAAAGCAAATCACTGATAGCCATACTGTCACAGAAGAGAGAACCTTTCACAAAACAGTCCTCCCTGCCTTAGAAACACAAACAGCAAATTGGTGACTAAATTTATGACTTCAATGAAGCCTTCAATAGAATGCTTGAAACATTTATTCATGTACTTAAAAAATACTTAACACAGAAAACAGCCTTAGGACTTCAGACCCAACAGTTATTTTCCACTTAACAGACAGTTATTGCACACGCACAGAGCATACAATTTACTGTAGTTGGCTGGAGTGGACTGCAGTCCTTCACTTGGTAAAGAAACAAAACAAGAAACACGAGAAACCTGTGAGAGCTTATTTGCTGATAGCTTAGTAATTGAAGGGATAACTTAACTTTAGCCTTCTTGTCAATAACAGAACAGAACAGTCTGAATGTATGTTCAGTATTAGGAATATTAATGCCAGAAAGAAACTGGAGAAAAATTGCTGTCATAGCATCAAGTTCAAGCTTGAACTGGAGCAAATCAATAGGTGCAACTCCTTGAAAATTAGCAGTGCAGGATCAGCACCTCATGTCAGACAGGCAGAATTATACTGTAGCTCACCTGTACCTACCCTGTGCTTGCAAATACTTAGGAAGCAGTTCAAAGCTTTACACAAATACTCTGAAGAGATCAAATCGGAACATATCTGAAAAAGTGAATGTGACTAGCAGAAATTTTACACATCAGTCACATAACGTCATCACTCTCTCTACAAGATTGACATAAGGTTAATTTAACTCTCTCAATACAGAATAATATCCCTCCAGTCAGGGTGACCATCTGGTAGAGTTTCATGTTCCAAATGAAGGAGTAATACAAAGAAAAACCCCGCAAAACAAAATGCATAGCATCCATTGACAAAAAGAAAACAGAAACACCTCTCAGTTCAAACACTGCAAGTAATCCTGCAGGACAATAAAACTGGCAATGTAAACAGCAAAAATAGATAGCTCGCCTGTTTTTACTGGTGTACGTGTCAAAGCACTTCAAACTAAAACTATTTACGAAGTCTGCCCATTTTCCATCTGTTATATTTCTAAGAGGGCTAACTGAAAGTTCATGTGAAAGTTCATTTTAAGTTCAAACATGTCATATCGGGTCATTTGCAAGCTAAAAGTTCATAGGAAGGTTAGGGTGGTGGTTTTTTGGTTTTTTTTTTTTTTTTTGAAAAGACTAGTGGCTAAGAGCAGCAAGCTGGCCTTATCAGACTGCCATTTGCTTATGTTGCATGAGCAGAAGGTTCAATGCACAATTATAGGGTACTTTTATTATTGAAGCAAATTATTGTTGATGCTACAGTGTTTTATCACAGTAAGTTTTTAATTTGAGATTTCAATTGTTCTAAGTTTTATAAAGACACTTGGCATACCATCACAGATAAGTTCCATTAGAATGAAAATGGATATATAATACGGATGCAATTAAAAAAAAAAAACACCTCTTCAAATGACTGTAGCTAAACATTTTTTTCAAGCTGTCTTATCCAATCTACAGATCTTCTAATCTGTTAAGCCTGGGGATTTTTGGTTTTTTTGCTTTTAAAGCGAAGTCCAGAACATACATTATATCCATCTTTAGTCTACTGGCTGTTGAGAATTTCAAGGATAGCAAGCAGGCTTTTTCAAACAGAGGTTCTGTCCTGGTTTCGGCTGGGATAGAGTTAATTTT